GATTTATATATGAGATTTATCGTACCTAATCATGAAATTACAACACCCTAGAATATAAAGTTTCTGACCAGAAATACTTTAAGTAGAAACTGTAAGAGTTTTAATTATACCACTGAGGCTAAATAACTACGATTTTCCCACGAAAACGGTAGATTTAATACCGTCATTGTCAACAAGAAAATCGTGAAAAGCATCAATGTACAAGTATGATCATTATTGAATATGAAGTGAATTACTCAAAGATGTAAATAAGAATAGTATATGATCATTAGAACCATTGGAATTAATAGGATCCGAATTACAGAATTTATTGATAATAGCGGCGAAACGAATAATTGTTTTATACACCGACCCAATGTGTTCGATTCTGATACACTTTAAGCTTTAAGAATAACCCGAGAATCATTAACTACATGGATGAAATTTACCACAGGACGAACAATTACTAAACCTGTGTTTACTTTTGTTACCTGCTTTATAATTCTTTGTTGAATCATTTGTCATATTTCCATAAGAACAGGACTTGTTACAGACTGATTGGAGTCTGAACGACCTTGAGAATGTAATTCATCAGGACAGCTGAGCAGTGTCAGAAGTTTACACTGGCTAAAAATCAAGCTCTTTCACGGCCTTATAGCTAATACGTTCTGTTCTAATTGCCTGAATTAGTCACGTTTCCGACTTCTGAATATTTATCCTAACAATCATCCGATCAGAAAGCTGGATTTCTAACTAGCCTCCAAAATTGCACTTCACAGCCTATTTCTGTAGTTCAGGTACGCAAACAAACGATTGACGTATGATTTACAAGTTGGTTAAATGTAAAGCAATTTAGAATGACTTGTTGATGAACAATATAACTTTTTAAAGTTCTGTTAAGTTGTGTTGAAATAGATAAAGTTAACAAGTGATTGAGTTCCTTAGATAAGTGACGTTTAGTTCGCAGCAAGTGTGATGATACTAAAATTGTCGTACGATCAGTTTATTATTTGTTGATGTCTATATTTGTACTGTCATCGACCTGGATTATAAAGTCAGTCAGTGTCGTCGACAGTTTTTTGTTCGTTAGTGTCAAATTCTAGTTATATCTACATTTAGCAGATGAACTGAAAGTGCATAAGTATAACCGTGAAAAAGAGATCGTTATTTTTTCGTACGACGTCATTGATCAGAAGGCTGAGATTTGACGGTTCGTACAGTGAAAAGTAAGGATTGTGTACTATAAATCGAAAGTATAACTGACACGATGAAATTGCTATTACAATTGATATTCAGTGATCTGACTGCTGAGTGATCTAGCTAAGACCCATTGACATTTTACTGACCCAAAGATTCGGTATAGTATCTCACAGGAGCTAAAAATTGCTTATTTAAAACCATTTATATCGACTGAAATGCGCCAATATTTGGTGTGAACACAAAGCTAACAAATCAAGATTTATTCGATTAGACCATACTACATTTTTAGGTGTAGCACATAAAGCGTTTTTGATCGACTCGTATTAAATTATATCAAAACATAAACTGTGTGCTCAATTTAATCGATTTTAATTTAGGAAAAAAGAAAATTATATCTGAAGTGAGGAATGCCCCAAATGGTATAGATCGTGCTATATAGTCAAATGTTACTTTGATGCTAAGTAACTTGCTAAGCAGCAAAAGGAATGATTGAGAAACGAGTGTTCCGTACTCGAGAGTCAGTAAGAGTATTCTCAAAAATGTTGGATTAAATACTTGTCTGCAATGGTTCAAATAACTGTTTCCAACAGGTATTCGTGGGTTAACGAGGATCTACCACTCCATACCTTAATATTGAGTTTGGTCGAGCACGACACCATAAAACAATAAAATTAAATAATAAAGGTGAAACTTAACGAAAGTCAAATGGCAAACGTCAAGGCGAAGAGGACTGAAGAACTTAAGGCGTGGTTACAAAGGACCTAAGCAGAAGTTAAAATAAAAGACGAGATGAAATAACGGAGAAATCACACTACTGTACAGTAAAATACTCTGCAGGGATTTTCAACGTATTATTTGTGTTACAATCAGTGTGTATCAACAGCAACACCTTATCTACTTACTTTATAGCAACTCACATGCAATTGAGTTTGTTCACATTTAATTCGGTTAAGTCCTTTTGTTAACTTATTTAACGGACTGAGTCATTCGTACAATAACAACTTATCTATATCATTGTAACTTTATTATTGTTGCGCTTGTATGAATATGTATGCTTGATCATTTCTTACTGCCTTCGCATATATTCATTCTGCTAGCTTTATCATTAGCTGCTTAATTGATTCGATGACCCATTCACATATATAAACATGTGCATTTAATCCCATACACACTCGACTCGCGAACTCACTCATTCGCCTCTCTGCTTTTTGGTCTGAGTTGCCTGCTAATAAAACTGTAGTCGCTGCTTCTCATTGCCTTCTGATTTCAAACACCGTTGATAACGGTTACGAGGGTGATTGGTGAACAAAGCACAGCTACTGCAACTTCATCTTTTGTTTTCTGTCTTGTGATTAGTACTAGAATGCATGAAATTCACGTATTCTAAATACTTTCCGTACGTTAAACACTTTATTCCGTTATCAGTAACATGATTGTTAGTGTATGCGTACGAAGTAATAAGGTTTTGAACTCCATTCATCAGTTGTCATTCCATTGGATTCAATTAGGAGTTGTACAATACCCAACACGTTTTTTAATTATCATCAAACTAAGCAATCATGATAATTGCAGCACCTACAGATGATCGCTTTTAGGAAAGAACAAGGAATTTTGAAAGAGAAAATTAGATAACAAACCATTTCTTTTAAGGGAACAATAAATTCATAGTTTATTTAACTTAAGCGAATGGAATAGATAATGAAAACAGAATGATACTGTAAACAATATGTATGCACAACAATAGCGTTACTTGTTGCTTACACCTGTCACCGATCAGGTTCTACAAACTACTCTGTTCTGGGTTCTCCTTTAGATTTGTTATCAAGAGTTATTCGTTACAGTGATGTCGGTTTTGTAGTATAATTCTCAGATTACTATTTACAAATACTTGTGGATTTTTGATAATGATTACAATAGTTCTTCAAATTCAAGCGATCCCAAATTTTCCATAGTGGCCTAGCTTTAATCAGCTCATGCATTCAACTATTAAATTACTAAAATATCTATAAAACCCCCTTTGTGATATATATAATATTATAACTTGTGCCCTGTGTCCTACTAATGTACAACGCAATGATACCGCCAATTAGAGAACAGTGACTTACCGACCGGACCAATGACGCATAAACCCGTACGAGCATTCTAGAGTCCTTATCCGTCCTTCTTCCTGCCTAGCCCAGCCTGTTAAATCCAGAACACCAGTCTCAGCCTCTGAAATATGAATCATTTATCTCAAACATACCGGGTTTATATACCAACCAGACAGACCACATCGTACCATACAATAAAAAATGACATTTGTATTAGATCTAGCCAAAAGTGGCTGTGAATGTGGGAGACTGCAATTAATAGAGTAGGCATAATTCAAGAATGGTAAATTGTATAATAATAGTTCATAGGTCAATATAATGCTCATAATAAGAGGGACATGAATTTGTATAGTTCAGTTATTTAACAATTATACGATAAAAATATACGCATAGTATTAGTCCAGAAATAGATTCTGATGGTTATTATTCATTATTCTCATAGGGATATAACATATATATCTTGTAAACAAAAACGTGAAAATAACAAAGAAATTGACAGTGGATTTTTTTTCACTTTATCGTGAAATACTACTCTTTTTTGATGGAGTTTTGTTCTCTGAGCTGGATGATTTGATCGTGGAGCTTTCATCATTCTTCTGAACGAAATCATCAGCACAAACTTCGGATAGAAGTGAAGTGTTCAAATTTCTCCATATGCGTTTCACAGCTTGTTCTGTACACCTCGAAATTCATTAGCCCCACGGCAATTTTTTTTAACCCCCCCACCCTTTTTTAAAATGTTTTTTCAACCCAAAATTGCAATATTTTTCATCCCGTTTCGTCCAATGAAATGGCTAGTTTTAAGTTCGTTTTTAATTTGTTAGTTATGTTTTGTCGGATTGTTATAAAACATCAGTAGTTGTCGACGAAGTACACCTCGACGTTGATTGCTTTTTATTGACCTTAAATTTGTCAATGTTTACTTCTTTGTTTTGGTTGTGTCTCCCATTGGTTAGATTTTTGTTCCTATATTTGTGCTTGATTTTCCTGATTGGTTGATAAATTGGATTGATTTCAATGTGCACATCCAATAAGAACCAATCAACATCGAGGTGTACAGAACAAGCTGTGAAACGCATATGGAGAAATTTGAAACACTTCACTTCTATCCGAAGTTTGTGCTGATGATTTCGTTCAGAAGAATGATGAAAGCTCCACGATCAAATCATCCAGCTCAGAGAACAAAACTCCATTAAAATCATCCACCTAAGTTACAAATCTTCTCCACCATCTCAAATACTACTCTTTTACCAGCCTTATAATTCTAAATAGTATCATTTTCACTATTATTATTATTACTATTACCATTATTGAGAAATAAATAAGACCGAGAATATTCTAGTACTAAGTCATATTTAAAAAAAGAAAAGAAAGATTCACATAACTAAATTCAAATTACAATTACTTCTTTAAACACAAAAATGATTACGCAGTTCATTAACATATACTATCATAGATTAATCAATGTTCAATTTAATTCAATTCTTTTCAATAATCATTTAACATACTACTTATAATTATCAACAATTTATTATTATGAAATAAATAAAAGAAAAATTCTACAATTGTAATAATGATTTCTTCTAGATCAATATTGTCATTGTTTCTTTTTTATCATCTCTGATCCAATTTCTACTTGACAACATAAATTCAATAAATTTGATCATAGAAACTGAAAAAAAAAAAATAATTTTTTGTTTTTCGTTTTTTTTCCTTTATTTTTCTTCTTTATTAACCATTCGTTACTGAACTATTTTGTTGAATTGATTTATGACGATTACATTGACAATATATAATCCATTGTTTTAATAATTGATTAAATTTACGTATACGATAATAATAAATAAATATATTAAATGATGATTGAAAAAATATTAAATTCCATGACATATTACTAGTAATTACTAATAAACGTACAATATCTGAACTAATTAATTGAAAATCAATAGTTAATGATATTAAATAAACAATACTATTAGGTAATGAAAATAAAAAGGCTAAAATTTGTAATATAAGCATAGTAACAATTAATGAGATATTGACTTTATTAGTTGTTGTTGTTGACGATGTTGATGATGATGATGATGTTGAATGACCTACTCGTTGTAAATTACGTGTCCATTTAATTACTTTAATTAAAAAAAATAAATCAACTAATGTTACTAAAGATAATTGTATTGGACATGTATTTGATAATAATGCTTGATGTATTAATAAATAATTGGTATTATCTAAAAACCAACATACAGTTAATTGACGTATTTCTATAAGATCAGCTAATATTGTTAATGGTAATACTATAATAATTGTTATAATAATAATAATCAATATTAATAACCAATTTAATTGATTAGATAATTTATTATAAATTAATGGTTTATAGATTAATATAAAACGATCAATTGCTAATAATATAAATAAATTCCCTCTTAAAGTACAAAAAAATCCTTGAAAAAATGTAAATAATTTACAACTTAAAGAAGATTTTGTTAATATAAAATAATAAATTGTTCCTGATGTTATATATGGTAAACCAAATGTTGGAAATAATCGTAACCAACCAACAAATAGAATAATTCCAATATCTGTTATAGATAATATACCTAATAATATAAATTGTTTATTATAATTAATCATTGAATTAAAAAATATAATAATAATCATACAATTACTTATTATATTAAATAAACCAATAAATGGAAAGATATAACCCATTAATATACCAAATACTGTAGATACTATACATACTGTATTACTACCATTTGAATATCCTTCATTTAATAATATACAATCAATTAATAAATCCCAAGGTGATGTAAATTCTGTCCAGTTAGTATAAAGATTCATGTTAAACATTATTCTTTGTGTATAGTGTTTTTTCTTTTCTTTTCGGTTTATATATATATGGTCTTTACTGTGATAGTATCAGTAACAATCATAAATAGAAGAGTTTACTTGTTTAAGGAAAGTTAAAAGTTACCATAGTTATAGTATGTAATATATATAATATCATAGTCATTTGAGTAAATTCGCTCAGTAACATAAAATACATTTACTAATATACTTGTATATTATTCTACTATATTGTTACATATATGTATTCGATCAGATAATTGAAACAAATAACCATATAAAATGAACTAATCACCAAGGTTATAATCATCTTACTTATTATTTATAATAAATAAATATTAAAAAAAAACGGTTTCACTATGATACAAAACAGAAAGTTTATCCATTAAATTATGTACAAAAAATGTTTTTTTTTATTACAGACAACAACAATAATGAGGTTACTTCAATGTTCTAACAGTTGAAATAGTAACTAACTAACGAACGAACGAACGAACTAATTAACGTAATATACAATCTGATAACTTCACTGAACTTTCGAGTAGTACACGAAATTTGTAATAAGGACAAATTATAATGAACAATACATTTTAAATATAATTGGTAACATTCATTTTTAAAAAAATGAATTGACATAGGAGGAAGATAATTTAATAGTTAAACTTCTGTTATATCTCGTCGAGGAGTATAGATCATTTAACAACATTCTCCATCAAACTCTATCCTGGATAATCCTTTCCAGTTGCTTCCAGTTAATATTCATCCTTTTCATATCTAATCCCGATTCCCAAAGAAATGTATTCTGAAGTCTACCACTTTTTGTTTTCATTTCAGGATTCCAACTTAACGCTTGCTTCATGATACGGTTTGATGCTTTACGCAAAATATGTACACAGTAAGTTGTTGCTAATGGTATCCGTTCAACAGACATTGAGTATCTTGAGTTTAGTTATCCTATCAATACTCAGAAATGTGCATCCACGATCGCGCCTGGGGGGATCAGGATTCATGACCTATCGGTCTCGCGCTCAATCTGTAGACTTCTGAGTCAGCAACTAGCGGTGTTAATATCTAACTCCAACTTATCCACGAAATTGCACCACCATCCACTATTGTTTTCAGTGAGTTACTCCGTCAAAACAGATACGGTTGAATTCCACTGGTCATAACTTATCATTCGAACTCTAGTAAATATCTCTTGAAGCCAGTCACTTTTGGATGCGTATTGCTGATTAGTGCCATACTAGGACAAAATGGTCGTTCACTGATTCCAGGTTTCCCATGTGATCTAGCTTTAATTGACTCATGAACTCTACTATTAAATTACTACTATCTTCACAAAATCCCCTTCTGATTATAATTTATAACTTCTTGAGTTATCAATTAAACGGTTTTTTCTAGTTAAAACCTCCAACATTTTTATATGCACAGTCAGATTCTCTTTAAAACACGACTGTGAAATGGTTAATAAAGAGCAAACAAGTTGGTCTCAGAAATCTCAAAGTTTTATGTATTGATAGGATAACTAAACTCAAGATATTTAACGTCCGTTGGACCGATACCATTAACAACAGCTTACTGTGTACATATTTTGCGTAAAGCATCAAACCGCATCATGAAACAAGCGTTAATTTGGAATCGTCAAAGGAAAACAAAAAGTGAAAGACTTAAGAATACATTTCTTTGGGAATCGGGAATAGATATGAAAAGGATGAATATCAACTGGAACCAACTGGAAAGGATTGTACAGCATAGAGTTTGATGGAGAATTTTGTTCACTGATCTATGCTCCTCGACGAGGTGTAAAAGGAGTAAGTAAGTATAAAAGGACTTACTGGTGGCTACTAATATCCATATAATCTTTAGTGAGTGAAATTATCTACCATATTATATGATACCAGCTATGTTTGTAAACCGTCTGAAAAATGAACTGCATAAACTGAGAGATCTTCTTGGATAATTCATTGATCATTGAAAGATGACTAATATCTTGCATGCAAATTCTTTCTTACTGTTGATCAAGTCCTGTCTGTCAAGTTGAAATGTAGTCATTAGTCTACGTGACTCTGAATCACATGTACAATGTTAAGACGTAAGCAGGTGACATGATGGTAGTCACTACATAGTGACCAATTAGTTGTGCAATACACCTCAGTACTACAAGAAGTCAGTCACTGTCTCGCTAGCTCAATGGTACTGACTGTGTCTGTGAAGCTGAGTGGAACGTGATCGAATCAGTCAGGGAGTATCAGTTACCTCACCTTGGTAATGAGCACCGAATAGCATAAAACCTAAGTCTCAGGATTTCGTGTTGACTACCTCCAACTACCATCTTACAAACAGAGGGATCTTTACCGATAGAACAGACAAATTTCTATTCTTCTCAACTCCGATAGAAGATATGGCTAACAAGATGGAAATGTATGAAAAAAACTGAAAATCTATAAAAGAAAACAAGTTCCCACTTTTTATGATGATAATCGTTCTAGTATGAGACTGGAAAACCCCAAAGTGAAAACTACCATGTTCTCACTAGTGGCTAGATTCAAGAGAAAATTTCAGGATTTCTAGTGAAAATCCGTGACCACGAGAGCTAATCCGTATCCGCTGGAAGGCAATTGCCTACCGAAGACAATAAGAAGTGCCGTTTCAGTGGTCTAGAGGTATTTTTGATCCTGTGTACGGGATCATGAAGTTGCACTTCTGAGGAATCCCATACTAGGACGAAACAGCCGTCCAGTGCTTCCAGGTTTTCAATGGTAGTTTATTTTAGATCGATTCATGAATTCAACTATTACAAAATTACTTCAATTTCCACAAATCCCCATTCTGATACTAATATATATACAAAATTTAAATCTAAATGTTTCCCGACGGTCAATAATCGGCACAAAACAACAAACGAAGGGGAAGTACCTTTCAGATATACGACTATAAGTAAAATTACAACACATGCTATAAATCGGTGAATGACCAAGTTAAGTAACTGTTAAAATTAACTAATTCCAGTAAAAGTATAGAACAGAGATGAATTTTATGACAGTTCCTAACCAATCAGAAAACAACTTTGTAAGTACACTAGTTTATATGGAAGAAAACAATAACATCACAAAATATAAACAAACTACGTAATGAATGAATTTACTATAGTCATCTACAGGTTACTCTGTTTGTACAGTGAAAAAAAAACACAAAGAAATACATATATAATGTATGCTACTTATAGTGACATAAGTAGTATGTTATGTTAGCCGTAAACAGAAAGTCTTGCATCAGAGATACAAGAGGATCGAACAGTAAAGAAAGGGAACAGAATGCAAATAGTATGTAAATGCGAGAAAAATGAAGTCTGGGTCATTTTGAGATAAATGATGGACATTTTGCAAATTACATATTTACTAGTTGATTGTTAGATTTTATTAACAAGTCCTGTAATTTTGTGTCGAATACATTCGATTGTCCCCACTCGTGTTCTGTTCACTACACATATATTCGTTCAGAAGAATATAGATTACTCATTTCCTCAAACAGTTACAAAAACCTAGATAGATTATTAATAGTTCTCACATTGTTCTTGATAAGGATTAGGTAGTTAACTTTAGAATTAAGGGTTTAGGTCAAGATTTATCTTGATGAAATCAAATCAACTATGGTATAAGACGCTTTGTAGCTAATGTAAATACACAAATTTAACACAAAAATTCTGTTTAGTTCGTCCATAAAATACAGTGTTAATGGGTTAAGATTTATTTCAATAATGAAGGTTTAACATTGATATTTATAGATAATGTTGATTTGCCTGTTATATAAAGCGTATTATGATACGACTTGTTGTTAATAGACATTAAGATGAAGGTGATATTAACTTTTGTTGTGAACAGGAAACAAGAAGCCCTGACAAACTACGAAAGCTATTTTTTGGGACGTTATTCCATTTTATTCAAAGCTCGTAAAACACTGACATTTATTTTTGCCCCTAATCTATTCTACAGAACATAAACTTTCATTCGATGCATGATTCATTGCCATACCCTTTTCTGTTCCGAAGCTATTGTAATTTAAACATATTTCGCACTCTATTTTCTACTCTAATTCCCAGCTTTGGATATAATTTTATTTTTCCTAATTATTGTACGTTGTGGTCGGGTTATTCACTTATTTATTCATGTACCTTTTTACACTAATCCGAAAATCCGAAAATCAGGATTTCAGGAATAGATCGAGCAGTGTTCCAGTTGGCTTGTCTTCTCTCGTTCGCGTGCTTGTCAGCCAATCAGGTGATAGAATAGTTTTCTTCTCTCTATCCCACTTCGAAGTCACGCGTACTAGCCTCAAGGTTAGGTCGGTCAGCCTATCGCCCCAAGGTCTTAATCTGGATTAGATAAGTATCCTCAGCACCAAAGAATGGGTAGAATTTCTTGGTTTTTTTATTTCAAGTAGTTAGTTGTCGTGACAATAGAAAAATGGTAAAATAAAAACAAAATTCATCTAATGTTTATGTAAACAGAAAGACTATTTATATTATTCAAAGTAAACTAGAGAAAAAATTGATAACTATTTAATAGTTGAATTCATGAATCAACTGAAGCTAAATCATCATGGAAAACCTAGAAGCACTGAACAGTCTTAGTATGGAACTCTTCAGCTGTACACATCCATGATCCCGCCTCGCGAGATTCGGACCCACGACGAAACGGTAATCCAGTGCTTTCAGGTTTTCCATGGTGATCTAACTTCAACTAATTCATGAATCCAACTATTAAATTACTTATAATCTCCACAAGAACCCTTCTCTGATAACTATTTCTTGGTAGTGCAATAAGAAGATGAAGATTATCAGAACTACGTGATGATATATTAGCGCAATACATTTCGGACAGTTTGATCACACATATACTTGTTAAGAACATTTATATACAAAAATAAAAAGTGAACTAGACTAGAATATGAGAGTAAGAGGAGACAAGAATAATAAAGAAATAACGTGCAGCGAA